ACCCCGAAAGTAAGTGAGAGACTTGAAGAAATTTGTTCTTCGTTTCGTTGGAAATGAAAATGAATTCAGGAAAAAAGCTGTAAACGAACAGGAAAATGATGAGTAAATAGTTCACACCACCTAATCAATCCGATTCAAACTAAGCTATGAACATATATTATGTGGACTCCCCTAGTAATAATTAAACCATAACTAATCTTGTCACAGCCATGACATTCATGAACTAACAAATGTTTTTCCGCTGCAAATCAGTGAAAAATTTGTGTTATAGAACATAGTTTTTCCAGTTATTTTTCATCAAAGCAGATCATTGAAAAAATGCATGGTGAGAAACTGATTCACACCAAAATAGTGGAAATTTTCTACATTTTTTTAATGAAAAAATTGCATTTTTTCTTTTTTATTTTTGTTATCCGAGCCAATCAAAATATCTATAGAAATAGAGCATGAATATTTTTCAACAGAAAATTTTAATAAAAAATAAGGATATTTCAATAGTGACGTCAAATTATTTGTGCGTTCCAAATAGTTCCTCCAACTTAGTCCATCATTAATATTGCTCAATCAACTATCCGCATTACTTTTCACGTCTTAGAGTATCAAGTAGCTTGAAAACTTATCTATAGTTGATGATTCTTATGAGTATAGTATAATATTTTATTTTTTAAAAAATGTTTTTCTTGTAAAAAAAATCGATTTATCAAATGAAGCCATTTATGGTGTTTTCTTTGTTTCTGTTTGATATTTATATTAGACTCTGATCAATTTGATGGTTTTATACAAATACCTCCTTTTTATGCCACTATTTATATCTTATCCCTATCTTTAAAAGTTTATATAAATATAGCCCTTGATTCTACTGATAATACAATAAATGTCATCTAATATCAACATTTTAGGTTGTGGTTGCTCAAATAAAATAAAATTAGTTTATGATGTAAAAGGGTCATACTCATTACTCAGTTGGCAAGAGAAATAAGAAAAAGTAGGTTATTCACTAAATAATTATTCCAAAAAGAATAAGTAGCAAAAAATTATGGATTAATTTAAATTTGTGTCGTGTGAAACCCATTAAAAGAGAAACTTAACGCTCCTTAATAGAATTTTCTCGATACTTAAATAGTCGAAGTCTTTGATTAATAATAAAAAAAATATCATATTCATTTATGACGACAATCGTTGATGATTCATCTATCCTATATCAAATGAATGATTATAAGTAGAAAAATAAACATTGGAGAATAAAAGACAGATGAGATGATAAAACAACTCATATCCACGCACTATATATCATTAGAAGCCAAATGATTGAAACGTAAGAAAATTGTATGAGAGGGGTCACAAAGTGATGTTAGTCAATATTTTCATCAACAAATTGCTAAATTTAGGGGAAAAGAAACCCATTTGAATTTGATGAATTTATTCCGTTTATAATCGATCAAACAATATATTGTTATACTAACTTCTTTTTAATTATAGCAATGTAAAACCAAAATTGCTTATATAATATATGATCATGACCATGACAACGTAACTATATATTCTTTTTAAGATTGATCCTTTTCAGAATTCAGTTAATCCAACTGCCTATGCATTATTTGTGTGGTCATCACTTGCCACTCCCAAACTAACACATACTACAATAGATTCACAATAATATTTACTTTTAAGAATTTTGTGGGCCGTTTCCTTTTATTTGTCACATATTTCTAAAACTAAATTGATGGATTCAATATTTTAAATTTAGACCATTAGATGGTTGAAAATAATTTTTAAATTACTGTAAATTGTAATTTTTCTCATATTAATATGATGAAAAAATTACATAATAAAAAATTAGTGAAAGTGTATGTAATTGAATTCTCGATAACAGAATATGACATGTAAAATGGAATGGAATGAGTAGTACCTTCTAGATATAACTAACGAGTATGTACTACTAGCTTTTGATTGATAATGAGTTTCCAGCAATTTAATTTATGGAATTTATTGATGCCTACTTACACGAACATTATGTCAACTAAGGTCTCTCCAAAGTTTCTAAAATGAAGAGGTTTATTATACTCTTTCTTTTTATTTTAAATATTTATTTAAGCAAATTAAGAAAATTTAACTCTTTTTGATTTTTTTACTATCGTTTGTATTTAATTTCAAAATATCATTAATAAGATTAATTTAGTAAAATATACCTATATTAAAACTTCTTTTAAGAAGTGTGATCAACGCAGGACAAGTAAAATATGAAACGAAGATAATCCAGTCTGTAGTGCAATATGATAAAAGTATTTTTATTTATTCATTTATCTAAATTAGGAGAGATTGGTTAAAAAATCTCTTATCAGTAAGTAATATTTTCAAACTTATTGCAGTACTAGTAATTAAATTTGAAACATAATTAATAAAAGTAACTTAGTAAAGTAAATAAATAGAAAATTAGTACTGAACAATGAACATAAACTAAAACTTCACTAAATTAATATAGATGAGATCATGAAATATTATTATTTTATAAATATATTATTTAATCTATTAATTTAAAGAATGTTTTAAAATTCGATGACGATTAATTTTGATTATACCAAGCATATTTATTATTTTTCTAATTTTGACTATTTGCAACAAAGGAGGTGGTCCAATAATCACAAGAGGGATTAACGCAAGATGTTCGGCACTATTTGACCCTAACAAAAATATATAATATACAATATAAAATCATATGATAAAGCATTCGTGCAAATATCTACTTCTTTATTAGTTATTACAATTATTAATAATTAATTATTCTTTTTTATTTGTTTGGCTCACTTACATCAGACAAGACGAGTAGATAGGACATGTTGTGCGATTAAATTCAAATTTCAGTCGGTTAATATAATATACTTGTTCTGCGACAATAAATGAATACTTAATATAGATATAAAATAAAATATTTTTTTTACAAATATAGTTTGGACCTATGCAATGTGTTAATTATTTTCTATATAATTAGAGGAGGGGATGGGTTGCGGCCCTTGATAGATAATGAAATTATGTGTGCCCACAATTATATAGAAGAAGGAATACTAATTTGGTTTATTCAAATTTTCAAAACTATAGTGTAACCTATTAAAACAAAAGTCAAGCGTCTTGTTATTATAATAAATATAAATGTACCTAACTACAGTGTTATCATCATCTGCAATAATAATTGTATGTTCTCTCATCATGTAATCAGTGGTTGGACTTGACTTTGGTCCTCAAACAATTATTTTTTTTAAAAAAACAAACAAATATTCTAATTGACGGATCAAAATTATTTGTGCGAAAATAATTTCTTATGATCATCTACAAAGAGAAGAAATTTGTTATAAATCCTTTTTTTTTTGTGTGTATATGTATTAAATTGTAAAGAGGTACAAAATCAAATATTTCTAATTGTGCCCTACATGAGTAAGGATGTAGTGGAATAATTTAACTTTATATGTAATGAAAGTATAAATAATTACGAGTCATGTTTTAATTATTCTTTTATCAATGAAATCGTTATCATTAAGTACCCATGCTTTTCAAATTTATTAGAGTCTCAGTTTTAGTATCCCTAAATAAGGGAATTTAATAAATAAACTCTTCATAAACTTATTTATTTTGCAAAATAAATACCGGAATAGTAAAAGGGAATAAAAGGAGTAATAACTTTGAATTACTTTTAATAGTTATTGATTGAAATTACTTTGAATAGTTATATGTAGTTATCAACTAGTTTTTTCATTTAAGCTAATAATATTAAAATAATATGTATTATCTTTTTTAATTAACTTTAAGTAAGTACGTAAATGATGCGCAGCATGGATACAAGTTACAAGTTACAACAACAAATTAACAAGACTTGGCTTCAGCCAATTCTTTTTTCATATGTTGTATGGGACATTAATGTAATAGTAATATATTCTTAATATTTTGTTCATTATGTTGTTCCACTTTGAAGCCGTACTGTCCCCGGTGATGTGTTTGGTACGCAGAAAATGTATTTTCTTAATGAAAAATATTTTTCTAATTTTTTTTTATTTTTTTGAAAATTAAGTGTATTCCTTATTTATAGTTGTTAGTCTTTGTAAGTAAGTATAAATATATTATTTCGAAATCATTTATATGTAATCTAATAAATTACTATGATAATAAAATGGGGTTCGAGGGGTGGTGGGTATTAGGGTTTTTCCCTTATTTTCTTATTTTATTTGAAATTTATTTTTTTCTTTAAAGAAAAGTTAAAGTATTACTACCATATATGCTTTAACTTTTATTGAAAGAAAAATATAACTTTATTTCATATTTGAGTTATTCCTTCTTTAGAGGAAAAGTTTAGAGATCTATAAATTAAAGATCTTATTTTCATAGCATAATACAATAGCATCCACAATGTAATCGTTTAGAAACTTTTATTTATGAGGAGATTTTCTCTTTACAGTTTTATGCTTTTAATTAGTTTTTTAAATATGTAGGTCAATTGGTCATATCGTATAATAATATGTGTTTCTTTTAGTATAGTTTTATGTGTCATCTAATTTATCCTCATTTGATTTGCAATTGTAAGCTTCTGCATAACGCCCTAGTTACTTTCAAATCCAACAATGGGATGGGATTAGGACCTGGGGTAGTGGGGAGGAGGGTTTGACGATGGCATGCACAGGGGTTCAAGGGTGGTAGAGGGTTGGGGAGTTAAGTGTATAAGGGAGAAGACACTGAACTTGAAATGTCGGTTAGGAAACTTGTTTTTCTAGTAAAAATATTTTTGATCAACCAACCAAACATGAATTAAAAAAAAAAAATTAATTTTTTTAAAGAATGTCTTTAAATCTTGTGATCTTAAATTTGTACGATTTTTTTTTTTACTAAAATTGACAAAAATAAAAATATGAGAGACAAATAAAAAAGAAAGGAATTATGTATATTAAGTGTGTCAGTCAGTATAGAGAAATTAAACCCAGCACAAGCAAATGACGAACGCGTCTATATCATCAACTCATGCAATAAGTAAGTTCTCTCTCTCCTATTTATTGGAGGGTGAGCGGCCATTAACATTACACTCCCGCCCTTGATGACCTATATCATACTATTCACACACCCCAACTAGGAACCTCTAATTTCTTCCTTCTTTCAACAACAATATGGCCAAACGAAAATTAGCTTTACTTTTGCTTTTAGCAACAATTGTATGTGTGAGTGCTGCAAATTTAAACAAACATCAGGAGGAAGAAGACGCTGATAGAATAATATCGCTGCCTGGACAACCCAAGGTTTCGTTCCATCAGTACTCAGGGTATGTCACTGTCAATCAATTTGCTGGAAGAGCTCTATTTTACTGGCTTACTGAAGCTATTGATGAACCACTTTCTAAGCCTTTGGTTATTTGGCTCAATGGAGGTCAGATCTCTCTCTTAAATTTCTACGTGAAAAGTTGTTTTCTATTTTTTCTCTTTTTACTTTAAAATGATCCATTTAATTTTGATAAAGCCAAACATGAAAAGTAAAAGTGGCTAATGTCTGACACATATTTAACTTCTTCGGGAAATGGAACACTAATTATGATTACGTGAACTTCTGGTTACTGTTTTATTCATCCTTCCTTTTCCTGTAACTAAAAAGGAGATCTTAAGAAAAAAGGGTTGTATTTCTTGTAACTATATGTTTCCGTTTCAAACTCTGTAGGTATGTGGAAGAAAATCGTTTATTCGATTAGTTGAACTCTAATGCGAAATTGAAACAGGGAAAAAAATCTCACTCTATTTTGAAATTAGTCATTGATTATGTATTTTGACTCATACATACATTATGTGTTGTGCATTTAAAAGTCATTTTGTCGGTTAATTATTGAGGGTTTTTAGCTAATTGAGTACTGGGATAGGGGGGTCATGACTAAATTGTTGACTGATATGGTTCATTATACATGAACAGATAAGACATTACCTTTGCCAGTTGCTCTTTCTCTTTCTCTCTCTTAATATTAATATTTGCACGCAGTGAAAATCAATGCTGTTACAACCAACTCCTTTAAAATACAGTCCTCATTTAATTTTTCAACTTCATTTCGTGCCCAGACTGGTCTAAGATAGATGCCCACACCAATAACGCTTCCGCAACCACCTTCCTCATGTCAGCTACCTAACTGCCTCGTTAAAAACATATTCAAATATTAAATTTCATAAGCTAAACCATTACCTATCAAAAATATTACCAAGTCTTATAATGAGCCCATCCATGTGAGCCTTTTTAATTCTTTAACATGATAACATCCCCCTCACGCCGGACATCTGGTACTTAATATGTGGGTCCTCTGATATCTATAAAATTATGTATTCGACGTATTCACGTCCCAAAAGCTAGTTCAAAGGGAGAAAGATTACACTAGCCTTAATCTCATGTGGAACTTTTCCATTCTTTTATGGTAAGGATTCTTTAACTAATGGAGTTCCAACAATTTTTTTATATGCAAAAAGATAAGGAGTAGTAATATTTTTTACCCTATTTTCATAATTATATAATGTTTCAACAAAAGAAGTTCAGTTGGACCCCGTTGCACCCCTGCCCCTGACCTCAGAAATAAGGTGTTTTCAAGTGAGAATAGGGAAGATTCTTTACCGTGAATTCTGTTGATAACATTAAATTGTAGCCAACTAAACTTAGTACTGTTTGGGATCTGTCGTCATTTTCTTATAAATGAGGTTTCAATTTCTTGACCATATTGTTCATTATTAGATACATGTGCTCATCTCAACCATCTGTGATAAAGGAGACACACCCTTCTGCGGGGACCCCTTATATATAGTCCTAGTAATTTCTGTTACTACTTCAGATTTCTGGGCTGACACTAATAAATTTTATAACCATAGGTGAATTCAATATGTACAAGTGACGTCTTTAAACTTTACAGTTCTAAATTTGAAAATTTTAATCATGAGTGGAAATTCATGTAGCCAAGTAACTGAGCTACTCGTATAAAATATTCATCAACATCTACTAACAAATAATCAATTTAGAGCATTATGACTTGGAAGGACAAGATACTTGAACTCGTAAGTTTCAAATCTTAGTTCGCTTTGTAATAAGCCTGATATACTGAAAAACTGGATGAAATAACTTGTTGATTGTGCAAAAAATTGAGTATTTACATTGGAAAAAACAGGTCCCGGATGCTCTTCAGTGGCCTATGGTGCATCTGAAGAAATAGGGCCATTCAGGATAAACAAGACGGCTTCAGGGCTGTATGTGAACAAGTTTTCATGGAACAAATTGGCAAATTTACTATTCCTTGAAACTCCAGCAGGAGTTGGATTTTCCTACAGCAATAGGTCCTCTGATCTCCTTGACACCGGGGATTTTCGCACTGGTACGAACATATTGTTGACTTAGATTAGGCCATCTCTGTTTGTCTTATTGCTAATTCAATTTTTTTTTTTCTTGGCTTAGAAATGTCTCAATCTGTAGACTGATTGACCATCAATTTGTGGTCATATTTGGGTGCTTATTCTAACTCCTAATGTAGTAAACATGAAAGTGATGCATGCCTGTCTCTGACTAAACGTGACAAATGAACAAGTTTTTGGATTTAAATGGGTTAGTTAATTGATCATGACGCAATTTGCTCAATGTGTGGCCCAAACTTCTCTCTTTTTCCCGATTTGGATTGGCTTATTTTAAGTGGTTTTATGCTAAAATAGCGTTTAACCATTTTTGTAGAGTTTGTGTAAATTCAAAAAAGTGCTTTTAAGCTTAAGCTGAAAAATCACAAGTTAGGATTTCTAACTTATGGCTTATAAGCCGCTTATTGCTTCCCAAGTCATAAGCTATAAGTCTATCCAAACAGTCATGTTAGAGTCTTTTTGGATTGGCTTAAAAGTTGGTCAAATCTACTTTTAAGTCAGTTTTTGACTTCTCAAAGTGTTTGGCAAATATAAATTTTTTTTTAAAGTAAGTCAAAAATAACTTAAAATAAGTTAGGAAGTGTTTGACAAAGTAAAAAATGACTTGTAATAAGTTTAAAATGACTTAAAATAAGTCAGAAATCAAAAGTAGGTCTCCCCCTCCTTTTTATTTTTTGACTTAAAAGTCATTTCAGTTTGATTTTTTATTTTTGACTTAAAAGTTACTTTTTTTAAGCCAATCCAAAGGAGTTCTTAGTCAAGTCAACGATTACGACTAGATCATAATGCAACCCATTTAAACTTGGACGGTTGGAACATGTTACTAAAACAATTAATCATATTTGGTTGCTTATTCTCTAATAACTAGTAATCTAGTAAACATGAAGTGATGGTGGCATGCTTGCTGATGACTTTTCCTCTGTGTAATCAATTGTGGCAAAGTGCCCATTTTAGGAGCACATGAGAAAGTGCATTTTAGCACTCAATTGCAATGTGGCCTACCTTCAGATTTTTGGAGTCAATGCTGCAATTGTTAGCTACCTTACATGTTGCTATCTGGAGTCAATTTTACTATCACCACTATAGTACTATTCAATCAATCAAACAGCTAAATATTCGCCACTGATACAAAAATCTTCTCCAAGTAATTGATAGGAGTTAATCGTTGAAAAGTATTATACGACTTGAGTGCTTGATCTTACTAGTACTCTGTTCTGTCTAGTCCTATCGATTTGGAAAAACCTTATCCGCACCTGTTATTTGCACTAACTTTGTTAATTCATTGTAGTTAAGTGATTAATTCATGTGGGAATATACATGTCTAATTTGAATAAGATGATGACTCTTTTGTGTATTTTTATTAGCTAAGGACTCACTACAGTTCCTTATCCACTGGATGAATCGGTTCCCACGCTACAGAAATCGTGAAGTCTACATCACCGGAGAGAGCTATGCTGGTCATTATGTCCCTCAGCTAGCCAGAGAAATAGTTCATTACAATGCCAATTCTAAGAACCCAATCAACCTTAAAGGATTCATGGTAATCTCTCAATGTCTACATATTGGAGTATTAATTAATTGAAATAACATCTTGAAACTTGTTGGAGATGAATTTTCGATTTTTATCAAAATGCAGGTGGGAAATGCTGTGACAGATAATTACTATGACAACTTAGGAACTGTGACATATTGGTGGAGCCATGCTATGATCTCTGATAAGACATACAAGCAATTGGTGAACACTTGTGATTTCAAACGCCATAAAGAATCAAACGAGTGTGAATCATTGTACTATTATGCGATGGATCAAGAATTTGGGAACATCGATCAGTACAATATTTATGCTCCTCCCTGTAACAATTCTGATGGTAGCAGTTCAACTAGGCAGACCATGAATTTACCCCACCGACCTTACAAGGTACATATATGTAAACACATCATGAAAAATGCCAACATTTTATAACATCTACAAGGTAGGTATTAATAGTGGTATAATGTAACTCAAGAAATTTTTCTGATTTGATTTTTTGGATTTCCATCAATTAGATGTTCAAGCAGCTATCAGGTTATGATCCTTGCACGGAGAAGTATGCAGAAATTTACTACAACAGGCCTGATGTGCAGAAGGCTATGCACGCGAATACAACAGGAATTCCTTATAAATGGACAGCCTGCAGGTAAATACTTTGTTTTTCAAACTCCCACTATATTTGATTGATCTTGCAACTGATTGATCTTGCACCTATGTTTACAGTGAGACATTGAATCGAAACTGGAACGATACAGATGACTCGATTCTCCCAATCTACCGGGAACTAATTGCTGCTGGATTGAGAATATGGGTTTTCAGGTATGTGGCATTGAGTTGAAAACTTATTCCCAAAATTCGAGGGCAACTCAATTTGATCATTTTTTGTATTGCAGTGGTGATGTAGACTCAGTTGTACCCGTTACCGCGACAAGGTATTCACTAGCACAGCTCAAGTTATCCACCACAACTCCATGGTACCCTTGGTATGTCAAAAAACAGGTCAGTAATATAAAAAAACCGAATTCTAGTTTTCTAAGGTCCATTTAAATTTAACGTATATGCACTGACAACGTACGTAATTATGTTATGGTTATTGTAAGGTGGGAGGCTGGACAGAGGTATACAAAGGTCTAACATTTGCAACAGTAAGAGGGGCAGGTCATGAAGTGCCATTATTCAAGCCAAGGGCAGCTTATCAACTATTTAGATCATTTTTAAAAGGAGAGCCACTTCCCAAGTCATGATAGTTGTGACATTATAATTATTACTATCTATGGTTCAAAAATGTCAATTGTTTCCACTCTTGGCTAAGAATTAAAGAGGTGGTTGAAAGAAGAATTGTTTCAACTTTTAAAAGAGAATTGATGGGAAAAAAGGAGATTACAATAGGACTTTGGGTTGGAAAAAAAAAAGGTATCAATTTGTTGTAACAATATTAGGTAGCTGTGGTTTGAATTCTACTCCACGTGTTTTAGGAAAATGAATTTTCTTTATGTTTCGTATTTCAATAAAAAGGGGTTGAATTCTTATTAGTAGTATAATCTCTTCGATCCATCTTTACTCATTTATATTCTATTTGAAATATTCTTTACTTATTTATATTTGATTTTAAATTACTTGATATAAAATAATAAATAATCTCTTAATTATTCAAATCCAACTATAAAGACAGTATTGAATTTGGGTCTTCAGCGATTGCCGTATTAAAACTTCTTTGTGTATTCATCACAATGTGGACCCATCATGAATTCGAATATTTGCACAAATGGTCCTTTTTTTTAAGGCCACTAACATAAATTCTATCTCCACTAAATAATGAGATCCAAATAATGGGATACTATTAAAATCTTCTTCTTTTGTCATACAATATTGACACCAAGAACTTGGTATTTTTCATATAATTTTTTGATTTTTTGATATTGAATTAATTTAATTTATTTTCAAAAATTTAATTAAATTGATCTTCAATAAAAAAAGAGTAGTAATAAATTTGATTCAATTCCTTTGTAGGGTGAAATTTAATCCACTAAATAACCAAACAAATAATTTCTATGAACAAGGCGCAAAAATTATGGTAAGGAATTATTAAAACAAAATTGTTTATGTTCGGTCTTCAAATTAGGAATTTGAATGTGAAAAGTCAAAGCACATGACTATTTTAGTGCCTACTTTTGGGCTACCAAAATTCTCTCTTCTTTGTTGACTTTCCTTTGAAGCCCAAATTTAATGTATACTTTACCAGAATTATTATTTTTTGCTTTAATACTTTTATGCTAATTAATTATTACTGTGATATCAAAAAGGTACTTTGAGAATTTCTAAATCGAACTTAGTAAAAAAAAAATTGTTAAATATCTGCCATCCATCATCCATGAGAAGAAAATTAAAAAAAAAAGAAAAGGAAAGAAAGAAAGAATTTTAGTGTTTAATTGGTCGAATTGGATCATGGAAACGTGGAGATCTTTATTATATTTTCTTGATCAATTGAAAGAGACATTTTAACTAACTAGTGAAGAGGACAGAATTGATCAACATTTATGTCGTCCTTCATCTAATCTATTTTGGACCAACAACGTGGGCTCATTATTATTATTATTATTTGTATTATACTTTATACCAAGATAATATTAGGTATTTTAAAATGTAGTTTAAGATTAATTAAACTAATATGGAATCCCAGTTGGATTTGTTAGTTCGAAAGAATTAACTAAATTCGAGCTCATAGAAAATTGTTAACGGACGAATTATCACATTTGCTGCAATTTGCAAAACTTATCATGTGTTGGGACTAATATCGCATTACTGAGCCATGTCTAACTTGTCTTCAATCAGTCAGTCTATATGTGTCTCGTTATGATATGTCGAACTATCAAATTCAAATTTGATAGGCACAATAATATTTTCGTGGCTGCTAAGTATACGGAAAATAAAACTGTTATGAAGCTGCCAAGAATGTTCACACTATATGTTGGCAACATAGTGACTCACCCTCACAAATCACATTCATTCATGTATTATGTATATTAAAAAAAATATGTGTAATGACTATTTTTCATCATGTTGGTTCGACGGAAAACGAGTGAAAAAATAATCATGTTTTATAGCACAAAATCACTGATTTGCGATGCGATTGGAAAAACCTTTATTTCCAATAATGTATTTATTAATATTTAAAAAACAAACAACTTGATTTCTTATAACTATTTTAAATAATTTTACCATCCATTTGATCTATTTTAAAACATTAACATTGTTGTCACCCAACACCTTCCCTCATTTAATTTTGTTATACGCCGTAACATACATTTCAATTACCCTTTTTTACACCTATAGATAGTTGATTTATCTTATTATATTGAAATAATACCAAAATTATAGGGAATTAACATATTAAGTGGATAATATTGGCAAAACCCTTATAATTATAATTCTATATTAAAAAATAATAATACATAACAGTCTTGCATATAATAAAAGTTAAACACCTCCTTTGGCAAAAAATATTAAAGTACAAAGTTCCAAGTTAGTTAAATATATTTTTATAGTTCTTGAATTTGTAAGATGAAAGATTTTTTTTACAAATTATGAAATCTCAATTATTTACGATAAATAAGTTGGGTAACAAGTCACTATTGGAAAATTTTGCTCCAGTGTTGGTCTTGACTCTTGAGACTTTTCTTCCCTTTTATGCTTTGTCAACAATAAAAGTACTTGTCTAAAAAGAAAAATAAATAAATCAAAGTTGTGATTTTTAATTTCTTCACCTTATCTTCCATCTGTCCATTTTTCTACATTAATAGCCAAAATGTTTCTCCATTTTAATCTGTTGCATTAATTAATCTAGAAGCAATCAACATGACCAAGATAACTAATAAGATTTCCCTAATTTTAAACCATCATCCTAAAGTCCTAGCTGAATTCGTCATGAATTTAAGTTATCAACCTTGATAAACTTTTTAAAAAAACAATAATTTATTGATTGTTGAAGCCTGAAATTATATACTGTCCTTTTAAAGTTACCTAGTATTACGTTATTGATTCCTAGAAAAAAGTAATCGTGTAAGAATTCTTGATATTGTTAGCGCATAAAACTCAATCTTTGTCATGTTATTTTTCTTTGGTGCATGAGTATTTGTACCATTTGAGTTCCATTTTATACAACACTCGTTAATTTATGCTTCAATTAAAAAATCGCAACAGTTTTGTATTAGAATTTTTTAAACTTTAATATTCTATTGTACCTTTGTACTTCTTGGCACATGTTGTTTATTGTGTTTCGAGTGTCACACTATTTTGCTGTTATTATCGTTTCAAGTAGACTTTACACTGCTTTTCTTATTAACTGTTATGTTTTCGTCTTCTTTTATTTGAGTTTGATGCACTTGAGTCTTGAGCCATGGATCTTTTGAAACCAATCTCTCTACCTCCATGAGGCAGTTAAAGATTTGCGTACAATCTACCTTTTCTAGACCACACTCGGTGAGATTTTACTAGAAATATTTTTATTGTAAACTTTAATATTATCACACTCACATAATTTTATACAAGAAAATGTGATCTTTTATCCTCTTACAATTTGAATAGAGAAAATGACATTTTAAAATAATTTATGTGTAAAAATAAAAAACTTGCATATAAAAAAGGCATAATTTTTTTTTAAAAAAAAAACTCATAAAACGCTACAAAATCACTTCTCCCATTTTATTGGAATAACACACCATATTCATGATCGCAATATTTTAATATATCGTATGTATTTAAGTTTTAACTAGCCAATAGAAAAAAACATTATTTTATTTTTCAACTCAATGACCATTATTATCTCCTACAAAGTGAGCGGTGGCGTATTAAATATTTTACTTGTAATTGAGTAAATTTTTGTAAATCAAAAGTTTTACACGCCAGGGTCAGGTAAATTTCTTATATTATCCTTGCAATAAATACTTTTTAAAAATATTTATTTTTTTCTGTAAAATTTTCAATTTTTTTTTTGAGGAATAAATTAATATATATTTTTTATTATTTTCATAATATACTAATAAAAAAAAGTGATAAACTAATACGGAATACAATACACGCAAGGCCCATTGTCAGGTAAATTTGCCAAGATATTTCTCGAAGACTTGAAGGTCAAACCAGCCCTGGCCATTCTCCAAGGCCAAAGCTATTCAATTCACAACCAAATAAAAAAGAAAAAAAAAGGAAAGCCGCTTATTCCAATAGGAAGGAGCAACTCCCATGATGCACATATACTTTTGGATGGTCGGTTTTCTGCACTAATTTTGAGCTTCATTTCTCCAAGAAAACACCCCTTTCTTTTTTCATTCTTTGTTCAATCATTGCCACTCTGCTAAAAAGGGTCAGTTCCTCTCTGCTTCATATATGGATCTTGTTTGCTGATTTGTTCTCTTTCTGCATATTCAAGATTTGAGCTTTGAGGTTTGTGCATTTTCACTTTCCTCTGTTTCTTGCTTCTACTTCTGACTTCTGACCAATGTTTTCTTGATCCTCAAATCTCCCACTTTAGTTAACCTAAAGTTTGCTGCTTTTGTCTTCTTATCTTATACCCCGCCGCCTCTTTTTTTATTTTTTAGATTGCCCTCAAATGGGATTTGGGTTTACTCTTACAGTAGTTGATCTTTGCAGGTGACAGATAATCTTTCTTGGTGAAGTTCTTTCTTGATTGTAATTTCTTGGGTACTTCATAGAAGTTAAAAAGTTGCAATCTTTACCTGTTTGGGATTAACCTGAGCTAGTTTCTTGGTTCTTGAATTCATATGGGAGACTGTGAATCTTCAGTCCCCCTAATGGAAGAAGAAGAAAACCTGATAGCTGCTGCACAGAACATTGTGAAAGCGTTGGGGTCAAATAGGACTTTAACGGATGATGCCAGGAAAATTTTGGCTGATCTAGGCTCCCAATTGTCTTCTATAACTAGAGTGAGTGAACCCGAAGATGAGGGAGCTGGTGAAATTGAGGAGCAGCTTATTGAGCTGGAGGAGGAGCTTAATTTAGTGCAGAGTAAAGTCATGAACTGGGAGGTGGGTAAGTCAATGATATGGGATTGTGGCCAGGAAGAAGCTTATGAGTATTTGAGATATGTGGATCAAGGTCGAAAATTGATTGAGAGATTGGAGAGTTTGAACTTGGTTAAAGGTGGTAAAGAAGATGAGCTTCTGCGTAGGGCTCATGATCTTCTGCAAACAGCAATGAATCGTCTCGAGGAGGAGTTTACTCATTTGCTTGTTCACAACAGGCAGCCTTTTGAGCCGGAGCATATGTCTTTTCGTTCCAGTGAAGACGATACGTTGGATGATGGCTCAATTGTGTCGTTTGGGGATGACTCGATTGAGGATGTGGTTCAAAGAGATAGCATGAGTAGGAGTTCAGGGGAGTACATCATTGAACTGGTGCATCCAGATGTTATTCCTGACCTAAGATGCATTGCCAATTTGATGTTTGATTCAAATTATGGCCGGGAATGTTCTCAAGCATTTATCAATGTCAGAAAAGATGGCTTGGATGATTGCCTCTTCATTCTTAAAGTAGAGAAGTTGAGCATCGAGGATGTATTGAAGATGGAATGGAACTCGTTGAACTCCAAAATCAGGAGGTGGATACGGGCTATGAAGATCTTTGTGCGCATTTATCTTGCCAGTGAAAAATGGCTAAGTGATCAGATTTTTAGCGAGCTGGAAGCAGTTGGTTCAGTTTGCTTTGCTGAGGCCTCGAAAGCTTCAATCTTGCAGCTTCTGAACTTTGGTGAAGCCATAGCTATTGGCCCTCATCAACCGGAGAAATTGATTAGGATTCTTGACATGTATGAGGTGCTTGCAGATCTTATCCCAGATATTGATGCTATGTACTCTGAGGAGGTGGGGTTATGCGTTAGAAGAGAGTGCCAAGATATTCTTAGAAGCTTGGGTGATTGTGCAAAGGCAACCTTTCTGGAATTTGAAAATGCTGTTGCTTCCAGCATATCAGCCAACCCTTTTCCTGGTGGCGGGATACACCATCTCACGAGGTATGTCATGAACTACATGAAAACTCTTATTGATTATAGCAAGACACTTGATGAGCTTCTGAAGGGCCATGAGAAGGAAGATTCAGTGACCATTTTACCAGACATGACTCCTGATAGAGAAGAAGATAACACAGACAGACGCTGTTACATTTCTCCGCTGGCTCAACATTTTCGATCCTTCACTTCAATCTTGGAATGCAACCTTGAGGATAAGGCCAGGTTATACAAGGATGAGTCACTAGGTCACCTTTTCTTAATGAATAATATTCATTACATGGCTGAAAAGGTGAAGAATTCCAATCTAAGAACAATACTAGGTGATGGTTGGATCCGAAAACATAATTGGAAATTCCAACATCATGCAATGAGCTATGAGAGAGCTACTTGGAGCTCTATCCTCTCTTTCCTCAGAGATGAAGGGCTATATAATCCAGGCTCGAATTCTATCTCGAGATCTCTTCTCAAGGAGAGACTAAACAACTTTTATCTCTCATTTGAGGATGTCTACAAGAGCCAGACAGGATGGTCTATCCCAGACAGTCAACTTCGTGAAGATCTTCGAATCTCAACATCACTCAAGGTTATCCAGGGATACAGGACATTTGTTGGAAGACACACCAACCATATAAGCGACAAGCACATAAGGTATACTGCGGACGATTTGGAGAAGTTCCTTTTGGATCTCTTTGAGGGATCTCTAAGATCTGTACATGGTTCCCACAGGAAGTGAGCTTCATATGCTAATCAGGGATTTCTTCCAAAGGAAATCAAGATTCTTAATCCTCAATCATCATACTAGTTTACATTTAGATATATCTATTTTTGTAATCTAAATGAATTCATAACTTCTTGAATGTAGAAATTTGGTGTTGTGTGCAAAAAGGTCAATGCCATGTACTTTTGAAATGCATAGATCCCTTAATAGTGTATTTGTTAGCTGTTTGTTACTTAATTTCCCTGCTAACCTCATTGTCATCATCAAAACCAGTTTGCTTAAGGCTGTCACCTAGGATTATGTTAGTAGCTTTTTGTTAGCTCTAGGCCTAGTTGGGTCCTGGAAAAATCTACTTGTGCTTGGAGATTTGATATCTTGAATCTTGATTAACATGCCAACATTCTTTTTAAACAAATGGGATCACCTTGTTCACAGGTATTATGTCTGATAGAGACCACCATCCTTAAATCAGAGTCCATGTGTGGATTGGATTGTTGTCATATTCATTGGGTCATAAATGAAATTAGTGCTTCTCCTTTTGCTCATCACATTTATTTTTGTATAATTATGGTTTTCAACCACCTCTTTTGCTTAAAAGATACAAATACAACATTGCATAAGAAGGTAGTAAACCATGAGTTCAAACTATCTAAACTGTACCATAATATAATGTTTAAGATCCCTTTTCATTAAACAAACATCAAGAAATGATTGTAAATTTGAACTTCAGATTACAGTTAGAATAAGAGATAACATAAATTGTAAGTAAAGCAAAGATAAAAATATCATATAATATTTAAAAGATATTACATAAAAGGGAGGATTATTATTATTAAAGGACAATGTGCACTAACCTCGGAACAAAATCAAATTATAAATAAATGACAAAATAAAACAAATTTTTTACATCTCGTGTGCTTACTCTTTTTTTTTTTTAGCATATATATATATAAAATATGAATAGTAATTATACTCGATTATACACATATTTTGCATAAATTTTTAAAATTTAAGTGGTTAAAATAGCCGATGTTTTTTTAAACCCCCCTCATAAAAAAATATTTTGGTTAAAATGAAAAAGAAAAAACGAGAAGGTTGTGACCGACCGCCTCATTTTGATCCAACGGCCAAGAATGATCAAGTTGTAATCGCAAGGCCGACATTTATTTTGAGATATTAATGAGAGATGGCCTCCACCTTCTAAAACCCTTCTAGGGTATAACGAGGCAACAAGTGTTCTTCTTCAGTGCATCATTCCACCAAAGGTAAGTTTCTTCTTCATATAATAAAGGAGTTGTTCAGATTTTTTATTTGTGTATTTGTTGCATTTTTTTTTTAAAGCTTTTTCAAGATTAGGGTTTTACCATTTTCGATATGTGTTGCATGATCTCAATGGTTTTTGGGTAAAGGAGTGAGATTGATGGTTGTGACATACCCAGACTGTGATGAATTCTCATTGTAATATGGACCTGAATAAGACCGGAATCTATTGATTATCCATACTGCATATCCCAACTAGTTTCAAATCCGTTTATTTATGCCCTGTTGTTGATGACTTCCTTTAGTTTTTCCTTTGACTAATATGCTAGTATGGATTTTCGCCAAAGGAAATGGGTATCTTCTGAATTTTCCTCCTTACTGTTTATTTTTACATTGAATGTGTGAAACTGACTCTTTTCTGTCCTGGTTTACTAGGTTTAAAGATGGCTTTTCTCAATAAAATTGGGAATATTCTTAAACATGGTGTAGGCAAAAACACAAACTTGGAACTTTCTGCCTCAAATGGTTCACTTTTCCAGACTATAAGAAGCATGTCTTCGTCTAAGCTTTTCGTTGGGGGTGAGAAGATCTTTCCTGTGTATGGAGTTCTTGTTATTTTTTCACTTCTTTTGTTTACTCTATAATTGTGTATTGTCTACTGCAGGTCTCTCGTATGGCACTGATGAAAGTTCTCTGAAAGAGACATTCTCTCAATATGGTGAAGTTATTGAAGGTACCTGGGTTACTATTTGGCATCTGTAGATTTAAAATTTAGCAATGCATTTCATTTAAAAGGGATGAATCACTGTGTAGTTGCAGCAGCATTAGCTAATATCAAGTCTGCCGTGATTACCAATAGAAACAAGCTAGCAGGTCTCCAGTGAATATGTAGTTTGTCCGTGGTTTTGAATTAGTTATAAAGTTGGAGTTCAAATTCATTTCTGTCCTATTAATGAAACAAGATGTATTTGGTTTGAATTGGACATGTTCCCTTATCAATTTAGTTCTTGGTGAAAAGTCTCAATTCTAATGATCTGTGAGACAGATCTATGTGCGGGGTCTCTCTGGAGATTTCTCTGAGGCCAGCTTCTTTTGCTGTGTGTTGTGTAACTCAACTTTGAAATAAACTATTTCCTCCCCCTTTGCAGCTAGAGTCATTCTGGATCGTGAAACTGGGAGGTCCAGAGGGTTTGGTTTTATTAGTTTTCCATCAAGTGAAGAAGCAACAAGTGCCATGCAGGCCATGGATGGCCAGGTATGATGTTATTTCTAGCTGGAAGGTATCCTTGTGAACACAAACTACACATATTTTATCAATATCTGAAAAAGAAAGAGCTTGAATAGACTAATATGGATTTCATTGGAAAGGACATCTTTACTTGTAACACATAGTTCAGAGGACAATGTTTCACCCAGAACCTTACTATCAAATTCCTTTGTAATGACACTTTGTATCTGCAAAGAAGAACAGTGACACGTTTTAGTTTTTTTTTTTGGGTAACTAATCATTCTTATTACCAAAAGTAAACATTACAAAGCATATAAGAAGATCAACTGTTGGACATAGCCCCCACAGTTATCTTTACTAAGGATCGTTTGATACAAATGGCCGAAAAGACTCAGTCAAAACCTAATTACATCAATGTCTAAGAATTAGGTAGGATAAAAATTGTAATTGTTCAGCCATGCTGCAAGTTTATTCTGGTTTGCGCCTCTAGCATGAATGTCCTGTATGATGAGCTTGATCATAGCCTGAGGAGTCTGCCTTTGTTTTGAAAAACTCGAGTATTCCTTTCCCTCCAGAGATAGTATACTGCAGCAGCCAACATCATTCTGTAAACCTCATCTTTTGGGTTCCTTCCTTTAGCATGCACTTCAGCCCATTTCAGTTCTTCTGACAATTGAGCAGGGACCTTCGTTATGCCAGTCCACTTCAGTAATTGCTTCCAAACTTCAGTAGATACCTCACATACAAAAAATAAATGGTTCAAGCATTAAGGCTTGTTCTCACACAGAGGGCACATCTGATTTGTAGTTACACCCCACTTGACTAATCTATCTCGAGTGTTTAACCTTCCAAGTGCAGCCAGTCTCAAAATAAAAATCCATCTAGGAGGGCCACTATTATTACAAACCAGTCTTCTCCATGACACCTTCTGAAACTGTCCTCTCATCTCAGCTTTACATAGAATTGCTTGATTGAGAAGTTAGGCATAGTTAATATGTCATCCACACTATATCCTGCTTGAGAAAAGTATTTAGTCGCCTTAAGGATCCTTTGAATGATCCACGATGCCTGGTTGGGAATGTCCATCAGCAAATCTATGTTCCCATAATAGGAGTGAGTCCACTTTACCCACAACTTATCTTTCTTCGTGCATATGTTCCATAAGAGCTTACTAATTGCAGCTTTATTCCATGTGGCCACATCTAGAATATTCATACCTCCGGCAACTTTTAGATAGCATACTTTATCCCAGGCAAGTAATGCTCTTTTTGATAGTTCAGTACCTCCCGTCCACAAGAAGGTTCTGCAAGTGGCCTCAATGATCTGGATCACCTTCTTAGGTAATACAAACACTTGTGCCCAGAATACTTGAATAGAGAACAACACGGATTTTATCAGTTGGGTTCTACCTGCATATGACAGAAACTTAGTTGTCCATGATTTGATTCTCCCCAACATTTTCTCAAGCAAAGGTTGACATTGAACAATAGACACGTTTTAGTTTGTTTATTCATTTCATGAAGTAATTATCATTATCACTTCACAGAGTAAAACTATTTGCAGAGAGTGAGAATCTTTTAGATAATCCTATCTCTTGTAATACCACTCACTTAAATATCTGTATAGCTTACCTTTAGCACCTGTCCCACCAAACCTCCAACCGGTTCCATCATGGGTTGGCTGATTAATGTGATATTTCCTAGCAACTTAATGCTATCAGTGGTCAATTTGGGATTTCTTTTAGAATGGCGCTTAAGTGATTTATGCTTCACAACTTCTTCAGGATCTTCATGGAAGACGCATAAAGGTGAATTATGCCACAGAAAAACGCCGTGATGGTTTTGGAGGTGGCTATGGTGGCGGTAACTATGGTGGAGAAGGTGGAAACTTTGCAGGTGGTGGAGGTTATGCAGCCAGTAATTATGGAGGTGGAGGCGGTGGATTTTCTGGTGGTTACAATTCTTCTGGAGGAAGTGGCTACAATTCTGCTGGAGGAGGTGGCTACGGTAGCAGTAGTGGCTATAACTATGGTGGGGAAGGTGGAAATGTTGCAGGTTCTGGAGGTTACCCAACCAACAATTACGGTGGTGGAGGGACTGGATTTTCTAGTGGTAACAGTTCTGCTGGAGGATACGGTAGCTATGGAGGTGGTAGTAGCAACTATGGGAACAACAGTTCCCCTGTTGAGGGTGGTAACTACGGAAGCAGCACTCCAAACATCAATTATTCTGGTCAAGGCAGTAGTTTTTCAGGTGGTTATGGCGGTGGCAACAGTGGGAATGACTTTGTTGGAGCTCCTAGTAACAATAATAGCTTCGCTAACACGGGATTTGGTGGGAGCTCTGAAGCATCATATAATGGAAGCCAAGAACAGGTTAGTGCAGATCAAGGAACTCAATCTATAAATGAACATCTTGGACAGGAGACACCAGAAGGAAACTACAGGGATAACGATGACGAACCAAAAGATTACGCCAACACCAGGGGCTGAAGAAATGTTTGGTTTCAAGAGAATGTCTAGGACATATGTTTGAGTCATGCGTGAATAAGATTAGTGATTCTGTACTATTGATATTTTTGCTTTCGGTATCAATTATACTCTGGTTTATTTTTATGGTGGAATTTTGAATTGGTCATTCCCATTTTCAATTGTACTGGCAATGTGTATTAGTAATTACTATTAGCAATATTTGCATA